GTGGACCAGGTGTGGTGGTTCACATTTGTAATCCCAACTACTCCAAAGGCAAAGACAGGAGGAGGATAGTGAGTTTAGGGCCAGCCAGGGCAAAGATATCCAGACCTTATCTCCAAAAGGAACAAAAACTAGGGCTCACGTGGGTGTGGCCTGTGGGCGTGACACAAATGGTGGCCAGTCACACAGTAGCAGCTCTGGGTTCCATCCTTGTGTTATAGTTCTGCAGCTCACAAAGTGGGAAATCTACCAGCCGCCCAGCTCCCTCTGCTTAGGGCTCCAATGTGGGGATGTAGGAAGGGCACCATGTTTGGAAACAGGAGGTGCAGACTCTGAGTCCCATTTGTGCAGCTGTGACACAGAGGACCAATGACTCTACCTCTCCAAACCCTGGTGCATTCAGATCATGGTGCTGGAGCATCTAGCACTGACCCTGGTACCAGTGGGGGTCCTGGTCTTGCTTTGTTATGTTTTGTCTTTTAATCTTGTTGGGAACTAGACCAGGTCAGACCTTTTGTTTTCAAGTCAGGGATGCTGGGAGGAGAAGAGGAATTATCTGGTTTTGGTCTTTAGGTGTGCATGTTAAATGTTAAGGGGGACCACTAAGAAAAAAAATGTATAGGGGCTGGGAAGATGGCTCAGTGGTAGAGTGCTTGACTTACATGCATGAGGCCCTGGGTTCGATTCCACAGCACCACATAAGCATAAAAAAAAGCCAGAAGTGGCGCTGTGGCTCAGGTGGTAGAGTGCTAGCCTTGAGCTGAAAAGCTGAGGGACAGTGCCTAGGCCCAGAGTTCAGGCCCCATGACTGGCAAAAAAAAAAAAAGTATAAACTCTAAGTCAGACAGAAGGGAAATGGAATAAGAAATTCAAATCCAAAAGATGTCAGGAATAGGAAAGAATAAATATAGTATTGTAAGAACGGTGCCAAGTATATTAAGAATTACAATAAACGTAAATGGACTAAACTTGCAGTTAAAAGGCAGAGACTTTCAGACTGAGTGTAAAACAAAATCCAAAAGACATACACCAAAAGTGAAGGCGAATGAGAGAGTAGCAATGATAAACACCAACCAAAGGACAGTGGTGTGACTTTGAGAGTGTCAGCTATGTCTGCTTTAAGGCACAAAAACAAAGCTGGGCACCAGTGGCTCACACCTGTAATCCTAGCTACTCAGGAGGCTGAGATCTGAGGATCACAGTTCAAAACCAGCCCAGGCAGGGAACTCCATGAGAATCTTATCTCCAATAAACCATTAGAAAACTAGAAGTGGCTCTGTGGCTCAAGCGGTACAGTGCTCGCCTTGAGCTGAAGAGTGCAGGGACAGCGCCCAGGCACAGAGCTCCAAGACCCACGACCACCACCAACAACAACAAAAAAGTACATTGGAACACCTGTGCTTTGAGCTCCCAAATTCTGTCATCCAGGATTCTGCCATGGTGGCACTGCCAGCCAGGCTGCAAGGCGAGCCACGAAGACACTTAGACACTGAGAGCTCTCCAGGATGAGCCTTGTCAGAGGCCTCTAGTTCATCCACTCTGCAGAGTTGATTGAGGCTGACCATATCCCATCAGCTGACTGGACCCTGTCAACTGACCATACCCACTAGGTGCTGGGCATTCAGACTTCAGCCCAAGTGTCTCCTTGTAGACTTAGAGCCTATTCAAGTGCAGGCATGTTAACCATGAACAACACGTCTCATAATAGAATGTGCATGGTGGGTGAGGGGCTCGGGCCACAAAGGCCTTCCTGAGAGAGGTGATTAGAGTTTGCAGACAACAAGAAGGAAGACTGCATTCCAGAAACTGGGCAGCACCTGGGCAAATGCAGACAGCTGGGAGAGAGGGTGATGCTGCACGTACAAAGGGCCAGAGGGGGGTGTCTGCCTCTGACTGTGGGACCTTGCTGACATCATGGTGTTAGTGTGTAGGTCAGTGTGGCATTGAAAAATTTGAGGAGAGTGGGATGGTCACCAGCCAGGGAGGGACAAGGATCTAGGTGTAGAACCGGCTCTCTGGGACCTGGGGAGAGAGGAGAGGACCGGGGCTGGGGCTGTGGGGTGGGGGTGGGGGGCAGTGCACAAGGCATCAGAGACCTGAGCTGGGAGGGGAATGGCTAGAAGCCTCCAGCCAATCAGGAGCTGATAGTGAGGGACTAGGCTCTGCTGACGACTTTGTGCAAGGCTGTAGGTTCCCAGGCCAGGGAGCTGGTCTCCTGGGCAGGAAAGGGTCCCATGCTAACAAAACCATCAGTGAGGAGGACTGGGACCCAGCACTCCTTTATAAGGCAAGGTGATGGCAGGCTTCTTCACAGCACTGCTGGAACTTAACCCGCACAAGTGTGCATACAGTTCCCACGTGCATGGAAAGTTCTAGGCATGCAACCTTGCACCCCTGGGTGCTTGTGTGAGCCTGGCCCAGGTCTCCTTCTTGAAGACAATGTGCTGGCTCCAGGGCTCCCTAGGAAGACAGCAAACCTCTCAGTCATAAGCTGTTGCCTTGGCTACATGGGGAAATGGTGATATTTTTAATATCCTGGGTTAAATAAATACATCATTAAGGCTGATTTCATTATGCACCAATTGAGAGAGAGGGAGACTGTGTGCCAGGCATGGTGGGGCATGCCTTCAATCCCAGCACTTGGCAAGGCTGAAGCAGGAGGATGGAGAATTTGAGGCCACACTGGGCATAGTGAAATCCTGTTGATAAATAAAGGTAGATAAATCTCACCTGCTTGGCTTTTTCAGATGTGGTGCTAACCAACCCCCCCACACCCTGTACCTTCAAAAAATAAAAGCAGATCTAGGAAATTTAGAACTGCTCCCATGGTAACACATGGTGATTTTTGTTTAATATTTTGTTTTGTCCTGTTTCTTACTCTACTGGGGTTGAACTCAGAACCTTGTAATTGCTAGGCGAGGCCCTGTACCACTTGCTCCATGTTCCAAGATCTTTTTACTTTTATTGTCTTTGAGGTAAAGTTTCACATTTATGACTTTGATCTTACTATTTACCCTTCCCACAGAGCTGGGACTGAGACGGGGGCTCCATGAACTTTTGATCTGAATCGTCTGATCTCTGTCCATGAGTAGCTGGGATTAAAGGCATGAGCCACCTTGCCTGATCTCACACAGCATTTCTTCTACCAGGCAGTGCTGGTGTATGTAGTGGTTCTTATGGTAACAGCGGCTGTACCAAAAATATTACTACTGTTCCTTGTGGTGGGTGCTTCTCACATTACTTTAATTTTTATGTTTTGGGGTTTTTATTCTTGCTTCTTTAGGAAGCAATTTTTGCTCAATTGAGGGGAAAAAATAACCAAAAAAAAAAAGAGTTCATAATCTACAACAGCTGGAATTCAGTGCTAAGAACAGCTTGGAGGGTTTCATTCCAGGCCTGATTCTTTTCTCCTTTTTACTTTCTTGTTTGCTTTTATTTATTTTTTCTGTTTGTTTTTCCCCAGTAGTAGGGATAGAACTCGGAGCCTAGCCCTGTTACACTCTATGGCTTAAGCTAGTCCTTTTGCCTTTACTTTTTTTTTTTTAAGATAGAATCTTTTTAGAACTTTGAACACTGGGCTGTAAATGCAAATTAGCACAATCCTTGTAAAATAATAATTATGTACTATGTGGCAATACCTATTGTCTAATACACATATACTGCAATACATGTAATGGCATAAAAGTATTTTTACAGTATTAAAATTTTTAATCTACGATACCGTTTGCTAACTTTGCCCAGGCTGGCCTCCAACAGAGATGGTCCTGCCTCCACCTTCTGGGGAGCTGGGATTACAGGCATTCATTACCACACTCGGCTCCTTCCATGAACATATTACTTCCTCCTTAATGTTATCACACAATCATTCCTGGGTCATTAACTAGGCTTCAAACATGGGGCCTGACGGCCAGCTGGCCTTCCATGCCTCAGTGTATCCTGGGTGGCAAGAGTGAAGCCGAGCCATGAGATTCTCCCTCTTGGGCCCCAGCTCAGCACTGTCCCCTACCCAGTCCTTCCAGCGGGCAGCCAAGGCCAGGGGTGAAGAGCTGGGACTCGGGCACCAGAGGGCCCGGGCCCGGCTTCTGAGGGCCCCTAGTTCACGCTTCCCCGTTTGCTGCAGGGCACGGTAGCTCCAGCCTGTAATCGCAGTTACTTGGGAACCAGAGGTTGGGGATCGAAGTTTGAGGCTAGCCAGTGCCTTAAAGTTCAAGAGACCCCATGTCAACCGGTGGCTGGAGTCCTCAGCGTGGGCCGATGACCTCAGCTAAGGGTACACACGCTGTCACACGTATGTGAATAGAAACGTCCCTTTTTACGTGCACCGGTAGTGACGTAGGGACGCTCGCTGGCAGGGCCGAGCCTCTGTGCTCAGGGTCTGGTACTTGCTAGGCAGGCCTCTGCCGCTCGAGCCACGCCCACCAAGGCCACGCCCACTGGGTGGTGCTGACTCCCGCCACACCAGTGACGCCCATGGAGGCCACGCCCCCACCTGGTTCTGCATTTGAGATAGGGTCGGTTGGTTTGTGTCTCTGCCCGGCCCGGCCTGTGATGCCAGGCTGCATCCCAGCACCCAAGCTTTTTACTGGTTGAAAGGGGAAGGGACGGCTCTCATGAACATTAACCCCAGGGTTGACTTTGACCCTCCATCCTTCTGATCTCAAGCATCCCAATTAGTCGGCAGGTTCTGAGGAGCGGGGATTGCAGGCACGCGTCACCACCCCAGTCTAACACAATGCCCTCCCCCAGGAACAGACCCCATGTGGAACGCGTGGGTCCCGCTCCCCCCCCCCACTGCACAGATCCTGCATTGTCCGGTCCCACGTTGTGTGGGGGAGGTGTGGCCATGAGCAGGGGCCCCTAGGCGGTGTCGCATCTGCTTCCTCCGGGGAAGCTCCCACGGGTGGGGAGGGGGGAGGCAGGCAGCCAAAGTGGTAGCACCACGACTGACCCACGCGTGTCCGTGTCCCTCCCCTCCTTTCTCTTCCCCCTTCCCCCCGCCGCAGGTGATCCGCACCGACACCTTCAAACATCTGCGGCACCTGGAGATCCTGCAGCTGAGCAAGAACCTGGTCCGCAAGATCGAGGTGGGCGCCTTCAACGGGCTGCCCAGCCTGAACACGCTGGAGCTGTTCGACAACCGGCTGAGCACGGTGCCCACGCAGGCCTTCGAGTACCTGTCCAAGCTGCGGGAGCTGTGGCTGCGCAACAACCCCATCGAGAGCATCCCGTCGTACGCCTTCAACCGCGTGCCGTCGCTGCGGCGCCTGGACCTGGGCGAGCTCAAGCGGCTGGAGTACATCTCGGAGGCGGCCTTCGAGGGCCTGGTGAACCTGCGCTACCTCAACCTGGGCATGTGCGACCTCAAGGACATCCCCAACCTCACGGCCCTCGTGCGCCTGGAGGAGCTCGAGCTGTCGGGCAACCGGCTGGACCTCATCCGGCCCGGCTCCTTCCAGGGTCTCACGAGCCTGCGCAAGCTGTGGCTCATGCACGCGCAGGTGGCCACCATCGAGCGCAACGCCTTCGACGACCTCAAGTCGCTAGAGGAGCTCAACCTGTCGCACAACAACCTCATGTCGCTGCCCCACGACCTGTTCACGCCCCTGCACCGCCTCGAGCGCGTGCACCTCAACCACAACCCGTGGCACTGCAACTGCGACGTGCTGTGGCTCAGCTGGTGGCTGAAGGAGACGGTGCCCAGCAACACGACGTGCTGCGCGCGCTGCCACGCTCCCGCTGGCCTCAAGGGGCGCTACATCGGCGAGCTCGACCAATCGCACTTCACCTGCTACGCGCCCGTCATCGTGGAGCCGCCCACCGACCTGAACGTCACCGAGGGCATGGCGGCCGAGCTCAAGTGCCGCACGGGCACGTCCATGACGTCGGTGAATTGGCTGACGCCCAACGGCACGCTGATGACGCACGGCTCGTACCGCGTGCGCATCTCCGTGCTGCACGACGGCACGCTCAACTTCACCAACGTCACGGTGCAGGACACCGGCCAGTACACCTGCATGGTCACCAACTCGGCAGGCAACACCACGGCGTCCGCCACGCTCAACGTGTCGGCCGTGGAGCCCGGGCCCGGCGGTGCGGGGCCCGGCGGCGCGGGGGGCCCCGGGGGCGCGGCCGGCGGCTACACCTACTTCACCACCGTCACCGTGGAGACGCTGGAGACGCAGCCCGGCGAGGAGGCCCTGCAGCCCCGCGGCACCGACAAGGAGCCCCCGGGGCCCACCACGGACGGCGCGTGGGGCGCGGGCCGGCCCGGGGACGTGGCCGGAGCCCCTGCCGCCTCCACCGCCGCACCCGCGCCGCGCTCGTCGCGGCCCACGGAGAAGCCGTTCACGGTGCCCATCACGGACGTGACGGAGAACGCGCTCAAGGACCTGGACGACGTCATGAAGACCACCAAGATCATCATCGGCTGCTTCGTGGCCATCACCTTCATGGCGGCCGTCATGCTGGTGGCCTTCTACAAGCTGCGCAAGCAGCACCAGCTCCACAAGCACCACGGGCCCACGCGCACCGTGGAGATCATCAACGTGGAGGACGAGCTGCCCGCCGCCTCCGCCGTCTCCGTGGCCGCCGCCGCCGCCGTGACGGGGGGCGCGGGCGGGGACAGCCACCTGGCCCTGCCCGCCCTGGAGCGCGACCACCTCAACCACCACCACTACGTGGCCGCCGCCTTCAAGGCGCACTACGGCGGCGGCAACCCGGGCGGCGGGGGCAAGGGCCCCGGGGGCCTCAACTCCATTCACGAACCTCTGCTCTTCAAAAGCGGCTCCAAGGAGAATGTGCAAGAGACGCAGATCTGAGGCTGGGGATGGTCCGGGCCGCCCACCCCCGGCTCCCGGCTCCCGCCCCGGGCTTCCCCTGGTTCCTCCTCCCCGGGGCCGGGCCCTGGACGTGCGCGCAGGGTCGGCAGGAGGGCGCCGCGGCTCCCGATGGAGGCCGCTCAAGTTGGGGCTCCGGGCCGCGCCCCTCCCACCCCGGTGCCAGGAGGGGACACAGGGGCCTTGGGGAGGTGGCCCAGCCCCGCGGTGGCTGCCTCATTCTCCCGATCTCTCGTCCCGCCGCCGCCTTCCAGGGAAGAGGAGCTTTGTTGGGTTTTTTTTTGAGGGGTGCCCTTTTCCCCTCGACCCCGAACTCCACCCACCCACCACCCTCCTTTTACGGTTCTTTTTTTGTTTTCTTATTTTTTTTTCTTTTTTTGCAGTTTGACGCCTCCCCTTCCCTCCCACTCCTCCAAACCCTCTCCACTTCTAAACCCAAGAGACAAACGCGTCGCCCTGGCGACACCCCCTACCCAGAGTCCCCAGTGGGGACCCCCACTCCCGGCCTAGCCCAGCTGGGGGGAAGAGAAGGCTCCCACCGCCTGGCCCCACCTGACCCACAGACTCTTTTGATACTGAAGGAAGGTTTGCGTCAATGACTACCTGCTCTGTAATTACTTTAAAAAAAAACATGGAAAAAGTTTAAACATTTTTTTTTTGGTCATGAAACAAAAGTGTGGGGTGGGGGGTCTCCCCCCCAGCCAGCCGATGTGGAGGGCATGGAGATGTGGAGGGCCAGATGGGAAGGGCCTCCCTCAGGTAACAAGTCCACCCATCACCACAGCCAGATCAGAGTCTGTATCATAGGATGGTGAGGCACCGCAGGGCAGGGGGAGCCTTAGAGCCTGCGGATGACCTGGGAGGCAGCAGCTGCACTCAGGGGTACTACCCCAGAAGGTCAGCAGACACAAGGAATGCTAGGCCTGGCAAGGACAGCATGACCTCTGGGGGTAACTGAAGTGTCCACAGCTCAGGGCCATCAGTGAAGCCTTACAGCCTGGGGAGGCCCAGGGATTAGAAGCAAGATATCCTTCCCCCCTCCTCCATGTGCCACCAGGCTGGGCACTGGGGCAAACTCCACCCAGTCCCTTGCCCTGGGCCTGGTCCAGCCTTACCCTTAGACATAGCTGCTCTGAGCCACGATGGGAACACTCGGGCCCCAGCTGGAGTCCACCACAGATTGGGGCGATCAGAAGCCCCCTCACTTCCTACCAACAGCATGCTGGGGGCCCGTGGAGGGTCTGCAGTAAGGTTCTGCATGCCTGGGCCTTGCCCTTTATTCAGTCTACAGCCTGAGTATCTTAGCACTCTCCCACCTTGGGGGCTCCTAGAGCTCATCCTCCTCTTATCTATGGTGACAGTGACACAGTGCATCCGGTCCTGGGCCCTATCTTTCTGGACCTGAGACTAACGTCGCTGCAGCTTTCAGGCGCTCTTCCCTGGTTGCTATGGCAACGCTGCGGCGGTACCAGGTGGCGGTGGGGGCTGGTAGGCCACATGCTGCCTTCGCGTTACAGCCGCCATCTATGTGCCAGGGCAGTGGCATCTTGGGGCACTCAGGGACTTCCCAAGGCAGGAGGCTCCTCATCTGTGATGGGGGAGGGGAGTTGATGGACAAGGGGGGAGGAATACAAAGGGGGTGAGGACAGGTCTGTAGGTGAAAGGTGGGCCGTCAAGGTGAACTGAAGAACAATCAGAGACAGGCAGGAGGGGCTCTGGCTAGGCCTGAAGGGTACAGAGGCACCCCCTTCATGAGGCTGGGAGATACTGCGCCCACTGGGGCCTGGGCATAGCAGGCCCTGCCACCCCTGCTGCTCCAGTGAAGTCCTCAGCAGCAGCCTCCCCTCCCCCTGCCCCAAGGGGATGGGGAGCTGGGACCTGAGAGCTAGGCGCTGGGCTGAGGGCCCAGAGTCCTTGTCACAGCTCCTCTGCCTGCCCCAAGCAGGATGCAGTTTCCATGACAACCTGGCCAGCCGGAGAGGAAGGCGGGGACTGCAGAGGGAATTTTCCACATGAGCAGGAAGGGGGGGAGCGTGGGATGCAGAGGAAAGAACCGAAGGGGGTTGGCATGCAAGATCCTGAGCCCCCAAATTTCTGTGCCCTCTGCCCAGGACAGGAGGACAGAGGGAACTTGGGAGAGGGCCCATTGGCACACCTCCTGTCACAGTGAGGAAGGTTCCAGAGAGGCTCAAGGGTCCAAAGATCCAAAGGCTCAAAGGTCCAAAGGTCTGCAACTGCCCTGGTCTGGGGGTAGGGGCAGCCCATAGCCCAGCAGGTGGACAGACATGGCCCTGGACAGCGTCCCGAGGAAGGTGGGGGTTGTGGGCTATGGCCGACTAGGTGAGTCCCTGACCAGCAAGGCCTCCCTCCTCAGGCCTCTGTGGAAGTCCCAGAAGCTCCTCAACCAGACCTTGCATCTGCGTATCCCAAACCTGCCAGCCCAGCCTCTCTGCCCTTCTCTCTCTCTCTCTCTCTCTCTCTCTCTCTGGGTCTCTCTCGATCCCCCTTCTCTCTTCCCTCTCCCTCTGGACGTCTAGCCCTCTCCTTTTCTCCCCCAGGACAGTCCCTTGTCTCCCACCTTCTGGCTCAGGGATCAGAGCTGGGCCTGGAACTTGTTTTTGTCTGGAACCGTGACCCGGGACGGATGGCAGGGAGTGTGCCGGCCTCCCTGCAGCTCCCCAGCCTGGCCGCCCTTGGGGAAAGGTCAGTGTCCTTACCACACAGGAGAAACTTAAAATGCCCTGCCTGCTTGTCTTTAGCTATGTGTGGTGTCAGCCTAGTCCCTTGCCCCCCTCGGGGGTCTTGGTGCACTCAAAGAGGGAATGAGAAAAGTCAACACATCCCAGGCCGGAGTGAGGAGTCACAGACAGCCCTCCAAAGACCTTGAGGCCCAATTCTCTGCAAGTCTCCCCCCTCCCCCCCACACACAAGGCTCTGCCCTGTCTCTCCCTCTCACCCAGGCATCCCGACCTAGTGGTAGAAGTTGCCCATCCCCAAATAATCCATGAGTCTGGGGCACAAATCCTGCGCCATGCCAACCTTCTGGTGAGCCCCCCTCCTCAACCCATAACCCAGTCCCCTACCACTTTTGTATGGGCCCCACTGCACCCCCAATCAGCCACCCTTTTCCTGATCTCGGTCCTTCCTGCCATCCTCCACCCCAGGTGGGGTCTTCCTCAGCCCTGGCTGACCCCATCACAGAGCAGCAACTCCTGGAGGCCTCCAGACAATGGAACCACTCTGTGTTTGTGGCTCGAGGGGCTCTGTGGGGGACTGAGGACATCAGCCGACTGGATGCTGCGGGAGGCCTCCAGGTGAGGCTCGCTGGTCCTGCAGCACCAGAGTGGACCCTGTAGACCCCAGCCCCTCACCCTGGCCCTTGTTTCTAGAGTCTTCAAGTCACCATGGCTACACACCCAGATGGCTTCCGCCTTCAGGGACCCCTGGCTGCAGCCTGCAGCACTGGGCCTCGCACCGTGCTCTATGAGGGTCCTGTCCGTGGGCTCTGCCCCCTTGCTCCCCAAAACTCCAACACCATGGCAGCAGCTGCCCTGGCTGCCCCCAGCCTGGGTTTTGACAATGTGATCGGTGTGCTTGTGGCAGATCTCAGGTGAGCAGAGCTGGGGGACGGGCTGAGGCTGTGTCTGGGTGGACCACACTGACCATGCTCCTTGCTGCAGTCTCAAGCACCTGCATGTGGTGGACGTGGAGCTGCGAGGACCCCCGGGCCCCACGGGCCAGAGCTTCACTGTGCACACTCACAGAGAGAACCCTGCGGCGCCGGGTGCAGTGACGGGCTCTGCCACTGTGACAGCCTTCTGGCGTAGTCTCCTGGGTGAGGCCAGGCCCCTGCCCGGTGCCAGCAGCCCCGCTCTCTCCCGGGGCTCTGGTTCTGGCTCAGTAAATCTGCACTCCTGATTCTCCTTAACCTTCTCACTCCAGGACTAATTCTAAGTCTCCTCTTCTCTTTGGGTCTCTCTGCCTCGGTCGGTCTCTTCCCCCTTCCCATCCCTCCCAACTCTGACCCTTCCCTCCATCACTATCTACCCCCCCAAGTGTCTGTGTCCCAGGCTTCCGTCTCTCCTGCGCAGGCTGCTGCCAGCTGCCGTCCAGGCCCGGGATCCATCTCTGCTGAGGACTCTCCTGTCGGCGGGCACCAAGGCCTCCCCATCCTCGCCCCCCTCTCGTCCAGGCCTCCTTGCCAGGAGCCCCGCCCCCTCCGGTCCCCGTGAGGATCAGAGGCCCTGCGGATCCCGGGCTCTGGCACTCGAGTTCCGGTGTCCCTCTGACGTCACACATCGTGTACACACGCTGCATGACGCCATCCTAATAACCCAGGTTCCTGTCGCCCTCTGTGACGTCACACGACGTCTGCACACGCCACAGCAATAAACCCGCACACACGTGAGCAAAGCTCATAAAAACCCTCGCGAGAGCCTGCCCCTTCTATTTCCCGCGATCTTCTGGGGTTAGCAGCGGGTGTGAGAGTACGCGAGGGACGTCCGCGGGGCATTTCCGGGATTTGCTAGCAGAGACTCACGGAAGTTGTAGTCTCGCGTTTACCAGAAGCTATAGCGGACTTCCGGGCCACGTGAGTCCTAGACGGTCCCTAGAAAGCCAGCGTGTCGCGGGGGCCTCTGGGCGTTGTAGTCCTGCGCGCGAAGGTCGCTGGGATCTGCAGTCCGTCCCGCCTGCCCAGTCAGCGCGGTGTGGCCCTCCCGGCACTCGGAGTCCGGAGCCGCGGCCCAGGGGGATGCGGGAGCCCCTGGCTCGGGGAAGCGGAGAGGCAGGCGGGGTGAGGGGCGTCTGCAGGCAAAGGGCGGGCGCCGTGGCTGGGTACGGGTCGGGAGAGGGCTCTGTTATTTTGGTGCCCGGGTGGAGGGCCTGGTTGCCAGGTGACAGGGTGAGGGGATCTGGTTGCCTGGTGACGGTCTAGGGCCCTGTTGCTAGGTGACCGGAAGAGACCCTATTACCTATGGACAGGAGAGGAGTGCTTCATCGCTAGGTAATTAGAAGACTGTCACCTAGTGTCGGGGGTGTACTCTGTTGCTAGGTAACCAGGAAGAACCCCTGCGTTACCTAGAGGCGGGAGGGAGCGGACTCCTCCGTTGCTAGGTGATGGTAATAAGGACCCTTTCACTTAAGGGACGTGATGGGAATGGTTGCCAGGTGTACTGAAGCGAGCCTTTTCTCTAGCACTATGGGATGGAGGTACCTCAGTTGCCTAGAAACAAAACCCAGAAAATAGGGATGGGGTCCAGAGTCCTCGCAGTCTGCCTCCAGCCCCCACCTCGATGGCGGTGCCCCGGCTCCTGCTGGAGGCCTGGTCCCTGAGCATCTTCTCCCCACCCCACCCCTAGCAGGAGCCGAGGACGGTATGTCCCAGGCCCCAGAAACGCGGCCGAGCCCACCCTCTGTGTACCACGAGCGGCAGCGCCTGGAGCTGTGTGCAGTGCATGCCCTCAACAACGTGCTCCAGCAGCAACTCTTTAGCCAGGAGGCCGCCGACGAGATCTGCAAGAGGTGACTGTCAGCCCTCACCCTGGAGATGCAGACCTTCCTCAGGGGGAGTAGCTCTCTTGGGTCCCCAGTGCCCCCTCACCTGCCAGGCCTGGAACTTCCTGCCTCTGCCCAAGGCTTCAGCCCAGCTCAGGCCCAGCCATCTCTTATCTAGGTCCCAGACACAACCTCCCAGATGCCAGTGTTCCTTCCTTCTCTAGTCCACGCTACACACAGGTTCAAATCTCACCGTCTTTTTCTCCCTCCATGGCTCCCTAGTATCCTTAAGGAACACCCCCATTTCCCTCAGCCACATCCGGAGCCTGCGTGCACTGCTCCTGCCTGCCTCTGCAGCTTCACCCCTCACTGCTCCCCTCAAATCAGACTCTGCAGTCCCCAGACGCTCCCTGCTGTGCTGCCTCTGGGTCTTTGCACAGGCTGTTGCTCTGAGCTGCGTGGCTATGTCCGCCTGCAACCTGAATGTTCCTCCAGATTTCAGACAAAACTTCTTTACACTCTGCCTCATCCCTGTTGGGCAGTCACAGGTGTGGCTCCAGCTCAGGCCTGGTCCTCTGCTGCCTGGACCTTCCTTCCAGCCTCCAGGCTCTCTCCTCCAGTCAGTGCCCCCACATAATCCTAGGGGCCAGCGTCCTTGTCCAGTTGAAGATGTCCACTCCCCTCGTGCTCATGGGCCTCCTGGGGCCCACAGATCTCCAAACCCCCAATTATAGCGTTTAGAGAAGCAATTTTCTAATTCCCTACTCCTCCCACCTAGGACCTTCCTGAGGGCCACCCTAGCCCACGGCCACCTCGTCACTCATCACAGGGGTTGCTGGACTCTTCCAAGCCCTGTTGGTGACCCAGAGCTGAGTCATATAAGAGCCCTTCTCTGAGAAACATGGCCTGGGAAACAGACAGAAAAATAAGCCACAATCATCCCCCTCCCCCTCCCCTGCCCCCTGTGCCTAGCTGGGAACAAAGGCACAATTGTTCAGAAAGCAGGGCCCACAGGGGCCTGTGGTAGCTGGGTTGGGAAGAGCTAGCAGGAAGGCTGGGGTGCAGGACCCGGTTGGGGATGGGTGGCTGAGAAGGGCTGGCACTGGGGCCATGCAGGGCACGAGTGGCAGTGGGGAGGATGGGACTCTGCCAGGACTGTAGGCAAGGAGGGGCAGGGCAGCCCCAAGCTAGAGGCGCAGGGGATTCAAACGCAAAGATGTGGGCAATGGAGAGCCAGCCTGGGGGTCAGGAGACGCCTCTCAGAGGAGGGGACATCCGAGGGGGGTTACTGAAGGCTCTGTCCTCCCACCAGGTTGGCCCCAGACTCCCGACTGAACCCCCACCGCAGTCTGCTGGGCACTGGAAACTATGATGTCAACGTGATCATGGCCGCCCTGCAGGGGCTAGGCCTGGCTGCCGTGTGGTGGGACAGGAGGAGGTAGGGAGGAGGGAGGGTGGTGTGGACCCACGGGGGTGGGAGGCCGGGACAGGTGAGGGCTGGCTGGACAGTGTGGCCAGTGGATGGTGAGCAGGAAGCTTCTGGGCACCCGGGATGAGGAATGGGAGGCTGGGATTTGGGCAGTCGGGAAGGGCGGTGGTTCAGGGGGAAGATGGGCAGTTGGGGGAGCTGGAGGCAGGAGAAAGAGTTCCAGGCCAGTCTAGGCTGTGTCAAAAAACCAAATAAGTTAGATTTTAAAAAAGATGGGAGATGGCTGGCAGGCAGTGAGAACCGGATGGGGTCCTGGGCACCGGGGGGGGGGGGGGGGGTGGATGAACACAGGACAGCCACTGGGGGTCACTGCAGCCGCCAGCTGGGTGGCAGGAATGCCAGGGCCAGCTGGCAGGGACAGGCGGAAGGGGCCTGACCCTGTGCTCCCCCGGCCCCCAGGTCCCTGTCCCAGCTGGCACTGCCCCAGGTACTAGGACTCATCCTGAACCTTCCATCGCCTGTGTCCCTGGGGCTGCTGTCCCTGCCGCTGCGCCGGCGGCACTGGGTGGCCCTGCGCCAGGTGGACGGCGTCTACTACAACCTGGACTCCAAGCTGCGGGCCCCCGAGGCCCTGGGGGGTGAGGACGGCGTCAGGTGAGCTATGGCGGGAGCAGTCCAGGCTGGAACTGGACTGTGGAGCCCCACCCCCAAGTCCCCAGGAAGTGCCAAGGCTGGCTGGGCCTCAGTCTCCCTTGTTGTCCTACCCAGAACTTTCCTGGCGGCTGCCCTGGCGCAGGGCCTGTGCGAGGTGCTGCTGGTGGTGACCAAAGAGGTGGAGGAGGCAGGCTGCTGGCTACGGACAGACTGACCCTGCGGCTGCGGACAGACGGACCCCACGCCACCTTCCCACTGCGCAGACTGCCTCCTGGCACCCGCCTCAGGCACCCCTTCTTGGGGAACATCCAGGGAGTTCCAAGGAAGGGCCTGGGCCCCAGGGGCCCCAGGGAGGACCAGGGAGGACCAGGCCCTTCCCCACATCCCCGCTCCCCAATGCCACTGCTGCCTCAATAAATCCATTAGTTTGCCACCTGCCTGTGATGAAGCCACCTGCTTCCCCCCACCCCTCACAGAGGCCAGCTGTGGGGGGGGGGGGGGCGAAGGAGGCCTGGGGCCCTCCAGGGAAGCAAGTTTGTTCCTTATCCTCAGGTCTGGTCACTGACTGGGAGGCAGAAGTGCGGCCCCCAAAGTTGCCTGGTAGCCCAGCACCCGGACTTGGGAGCAGGAAAGAAGGGTCACAGGTGCACAGGGCCTCACAACATGGAGACTAACAGCTTGGGCTCTGATGGTGGGTGGATGAATCACAGGCCCTAAAAGCTGTAAAGGGCACTGGGTGTGGTGGGGCACTCCTGTAATCCCAGCATGGAGGAGATAAAAGCAGGAGGATTGCTAGCGCCTGCCTGGGCTACATAGTGGGACCCTATGTCAAAAGAAAAAAAAAAGTGTGTGTAGGAGAAACAAAACTTGGTACCAGATCACTAGATCATCTGTAATTGTAGCTATTTGGGAGTCTGAGATGGGGAGGATCATGGTGTGAGGCCAGTTCAGGGATGAAAAATTCACAAGACCCCTTCTCAACACAAGGCTGGGCACAGTGGCATATACAGGGCATCCTAAACTATATGGAAGGCCCAGATTCAGAGGATCAAGTTTCCAAATCAGTCCAGGAAAATCTGGAAGACTCCATAGAGGAGGATGGGCTCACTACTCAGCTGTCCTCCTGGGGTAGGGGGGGGGGGGCCTGAGGAGCCCAAAATAGTCACTGGGTGAGAAGGGAGATCCTGTTGTAAAGGAGCCACTGGAAACAGCTGGCAGGGCAGGGCTCAGCCACAGCACAAGCAGCCCAGAAAGCCCAGGGCCCTGAGTTCAAACCCCAGTGCCACCAGAGGAACCTACTTTGGGACTCTGGCCGCCACTGCAGGTGCAGGAAGCATGCATCACCCTGAGTGCTGGTCCCCGAGCAAGGGACCAGCCTGGGATGCCAGAAAAGCCTCGCATGCGCAGCCAGCCATCCTGATGGCAGAGCGGGCAACATGGACTGGGTGGGGAAACGCCATTAGGTTCCCCGAGGCCTCCCACCCTGGCTGGCTCCTCAGGTCAGCTGCCTCCTGCGTTCCCATCATCCTCCGGGACCACCTCAGGCCAATGGACACCGAGCTGGAGTGGTCAACAGCCCTCTCCCCCACGCCAAGCTAGACACTCGGACACGAGGCTGTGTCCCCCAGGACACGGTGGGGAAGAGAGGAAGGGCAGGGCCCTGGGGACGAGGGTGAGTCCCCTGAAGTGGCCCAGAGACGTGGCAGCCTGTGGAAGCTGAATGGAAGGCCCTGGAATTGGAAAGGACAGAGTGACCCAGCCCGCTGCCGCTGTTTTATCGCAGTGGTTATTTGGGGAGGTGATGAAAGACAAGGCCGCCCTGGCAGCAGGAGGGGGGCTGGGGCCCGGAAGAGGGGCTGGGTGGAGAGGGGCCTGAGGAAGGGGAGGAGGGCTGGTGTTAGGGAGGCAGGGGCCCCTCAATGACTGGGGGAGGGGGCAGGTAGGGACAGAGAAGAAGGGAAGGAGGGAAAAGGCCCAGAAGTCTGGCCCTGAGCTCCCAACAAGGGGGAAAAGTGGGTTTGGGGGAGATCTGCACTGAGTAGGCTGGGAGGGGCCTGTGAAGCCTGGAGCGGGGCCCAGGTCAGGGGCTGAGATCCGAGTTGGGGACAGTCTGGGGGATGACTCCCATCTGTGCCAAGATCCAAGAGGGTGGAACACAGACGCCCGGCAGAAAGCTAGTAAAAAAAAAAGTGTGGGGACGCGGGGTGACTCACCCCAGCACCTGTGAGGTAAAAAGGTAATGACACAGTGGAAAGTCAAATAGGGGGTGCAGGGCTGCTGCTGGGGATCCAGAAACCCCAGCCTTGAGGCCCTGCCTGCCCCTCCCTTTGTCTCTCAGTGTCCCTGGCTGCACCCCCTTCCCTCCTCCCCCCCCTGCTAGGAGCCCCCTCCTCCCCACTTGTTGCCTGTCCTGTCCTGGGGGGTGGCGGCAGCTGGCAGAGCCCTGAGTGTTTCTATTCCGGGCTGGTGGAGCAGGCAGCCACCTCCCAGGTGCTCCCTCAGCCATGGCCATATAAGGTCCGGAGTGCTGACCCTGGGGGTGGGAGGGGCAATCTCCTGCCTCCCCCCCCCCCGTGGCAGCTGTGCCTGTCCCTTTGTCCCTGTGGGGCTGGACCCCCTGTCACTCGCTGCCCATATCACTGGCACCCCACTTTGCAGGGAGCCCCTAGGGTCTCAATGTGTCACCTTTCACCAAGGACACCCCATGTCGATCCCAGAGCTAGGGGCAAGGGCTCAGCTGCAGGTTGGGGGTGTCCAGGCAGACCCCCATGCATGCTCAGGGAGGTGGGGGGAGTGGGAGGGAAGGAGGGGGGGAGGGAGGAAATGCAGCTGTCCAGGCAGCCGGTGCTGACAGCTGCTGCCCAATTTAGCTGCAGTGCCGGGGTCTGGCCAGATAAGGTGGTGAGGGTGACGGACCGCACCCCCCCCAGGCACCCCTTAAATTTCCCAGTTCGGGGCTGGGGGGCGGCCGCTGCCGATACCAGGTGAGAGGGGCCATATCGCCAATGCCTGCCAGCCCGACCTCGGCCGCCTCAGGCCCCCTTCCCCTCTCCATCTTCCCTGTCTGCCTCCCACCCCTTTCTTTGTCTCCCCTCGTCCTTTCTTGACCCGGCCCCATCGGGCTCCCTGTCCCCCTTTGTCTCTGGTTCACTCTGCCTTTCCCTTATACCCTCCCCCCTCTTGTTTCTTGATCTCTGATCTGTCTCTGTCTCTCTTGCTCTCTTTCTCTCATCTGTCTCTCTCAATCTCTCTCGGTCTCTGATCTGTTTCTCTGCCTTCCTCCCTCTCTTTGCCTCTCCTTTCTTCTTGCTCTTCCTCTCTCCTTCTCTCATACTCTACTCTTCTATCTCTGTCTCTCTTAGTCTCTGATCACTCTCTTATCGCTTGGTCTCTCTCTGATCTGTCTCTGCCCCTTGTTCTCTCTTTCTCTCTGATCTCTCCCTCCCTACCTCCCTCTCTCCCACTCTCTCTCTCTCTCTTTCTCTCTCACCCTCCCTCTCTTTGTCTCTTCTTTTTCTCTCTCTTGGTCTTTCAGTCTCTCTCTCTCTGATCTGTCTCTCCCTGTCTCTCTCTGCCCTCCTCCTCTCTTTGTATCTCTTCTTCTTTTCTCTCTATCTCTCTTTCTTGGTCTCTTTCTGATCTGGTCTCTCTTTTCTGATTCTTGGTCTCTGATCTGTCTCTTTCTGATCTGGTCTCTCTTTTCTGATTCTTGTTCTCTGATCTGTCTCTGTCTCTCTTGTTCTCTTCCTCTCTCTCTAATCTGTCTCTCCACCTCTCATTCTATGATCTGTCTCTCTCTCTCTCTCTCTCTGCCCTCCCTCTCTCTTTGTGTCTCTTCTTTTCTCTCTTGGTCTCTCACTACCTCTCTCTGATCTGTCTCTCTCTACCTCTCTTGGTCTCTGATCTGTGTCTCTCTCTGCCCTCTCTCTCTCCTTGTATCTCTTCTCTTGGTCTCTCATTATCTCTCTCTGATCTGTCTCTCAATCTCTCTTGGTCTCTGATCTGTCTCTGTCTCCCTCTGCCCTCCCTCTCTCCTTGTGTCTCTTCTTTTCTTTCTTGGTCTTTCTGTGTGTGTGTGTGTGTGTCTGTCTGTCTCTCTCTCTCAGTCTCTTTCTTGGTCTCTCATTATCTCTCTCTGATCTGTCTTTCGATCTCTCTTGGTCTCTGATCTGTCTCTGTCTCTCTCTGCCCTCCCTCTCTCCTTGTGTCTCTTCTTTTCTCTCTTGGTCTCTCTCTCTCTGTCTCTCTCTTGGTCTCTCAGATTCTTGGTCTCTCATTATCTCTCTCTGATCTGTCTCTCGATCTCTCTTGGTCTCTGATCTATCTCTGTCTCTCTCTGCCCTCCCTCTCTCCTTGTGTCTCTTCTTTTCTTTCTTGGTCTCTCTCTCTCTGTCTCTTTCTTGGTCTCTCAGTCTCTTTCTTGGTCTCTCATTATCTCTCTCTGATCTGTCTTTCGATCTCTCTTGGTCTCTGATCTGTCTCTGTCTCTCTCTCTGCCCTCCTTTCCTTGTGTCTCTTCTCTCTTGGTCTCTCTCTCTGTCTCTCTCTTGGTCTCTCAGTCTCTTTTTTGGTCTCTCTCTCATCTCTGATCTGTCTCTTGATCTCTCTTGATCTCTGATCTGTCTCTGTCTCTCTCTCTCTCTGCCCTCCTTCTCTCCTTTTGTCTCTTCTTTTCTTTCTTGGTCTCTCTCTCTCTTTCTCTGTGTCTCTCTCTCTGTCTCTCTCTTGGTCTCTCAGTCTCTTTCTTGGTCTCTCATAATCTCTCTCTGATCTGTCTTTCAATCTCTCTTGGTCTCTGATCTGTCTCTGTCTCTCTCTCTGCCCTCCCTCTCTCCTTGTGTCTCTTCTTTTCTCTCTTGGTCTCTCTCTCTCTCTGTCTCTCTCTTGGTCTCTCAGTCTCTTTTTTGGTCTCTCATCTCTCTCTGATCTGTCTCTTGATCTCTCTTGGTCTCTGATCTGTCTCTGTCTCTCTCTGCCCTCCTTCTCTCCTTGTGTCTCTTCTTTTCTTTCTTGGTCTCTCTCTCTCTCTCTGTGTCTCTCTTTCTGTCTCTCTCTTGGTCTCTAAGTCTCTTTCTTGGTCTCTCATTATCTCTCTCTGATATGTCTTTCAATCTCTCTTGGTCTCTGTCTCTCTCTCTGTCCTCCCTCTCTCCTTGTGACTCTCCTTTTCTCTCTTGGTCTCTCTCTCTGTCTCTCTCTGTCCCTCTCTTGGTCTCTCAGTCTCTTTTTTGGTCTCTCATCTCTCTCTGATCTGTCTCTTGATCTCTCTTGGTCTCTGATCTATCTCTGTCTCTCTCTGCCCTCCCTCTATCCTTAGGTCTCTTCTTTGCTCTCTTGGTCTCTCTCTCTCTCTGTTTCTCAGTCTGTCTCTGTCTCTGTCTATCTTTGATCTCTCTCTGTGTTCTTTCTGTGCTTCCCCCTCTCTCTGCCTCC